GATATGCCCGTACCGATAACTTAAATTAGTGATTGTAATTCGTTCAGTCTATCCGGTCCAGTTTTGAAGCAGTGTGAACGAACTACGGTACCTACTAAAGCCGGTATGTGCATTTTATTACTTTCTCATGGCCCCTCTCCCCCGGCCTTCCCACCCCCTAGTCTCCGTGGCAAAGTCTCGGTTGGGCTTCACTCGAACCTCGCCGTTTTCCACCGAACTCGCACATGCACCGTACCTAACTCGATTTTCCATATTCAGGTGGGAAGGAAACACTAGAAATGGGCATGTCGTGCTTAGTTCTTCTGGGAGAGTAAGCACTATGATATACTGGTATCAGCATAAACCAGCGGGTCCTCCCGCCGGGTAAAGTTATTGCTCATAATTAGCTTGTTTCCGATACTCCATCCTCTGTTCTGACTTTTATCCAGGGCATAGGCTTAACGGGTGAGCATGTTAGGTTAATTTGGAAAACGGACTGTTTTTTGCTATCAGGAGTATGCTACAGCTTCAGCCCCTGCCCTCCTTCATTCCCTCCCCACTCCAGACACCAGCTCCCACCGATAAGCGAATGTGGTGGCACCCTTTATTGGGCCTTAAATTACATGTTGGCCTGATGTTTATCCGGGGGCGGTGGATGACAGTCCTGGCGGCGACGAGTCCCGATATATTGACCGGCCCTGGCCAGGGGAGTAGGGTGATGAGGGGTGATGGGTAGCCGGTCTTTTCTTGGCCAGCTCAAAAGAGGTCAGCCTCTTTTTATGACACAAGTCATACCTAATTTCAAGTTCCAAAGTTCGACTCCCAATCTTCGGGTTTAGTGTTATTCTTCCATGTTTTACCTCATCAAATGCCAAGATTGCTGGACACCCCCGACTCAACCTTTCGGGCCCTGATCCCGGTCTTTCCGATGACTCACTGCGGTGATGGGTCTGGGCCGCGAGTCGTGGCATAAGGTGGGTGACTACCGGTCACCGCCAATACTAGTGGATAGTGTTAACTCAACTTAATCATGGGCTATATACAACAGCTCTTATCGGGGGTTTCTGTTTTCCCTCCCTGAGGTGATGCTGTGTACGATACCCCTTGATAATACACCCTAGCAAGCCCTTGGAAGGGCGGTAAAATAAGTATCGATACCTAGCGTAAGATCGGGGGCAAGAAGGGCTCGCAAGGCTTTCTGTGATCTCGTCAGAGTCCGTGATCCGCTTCGGATGGCATCCCAGTTTGCTTACCCTTTTCTCCGGTCACTCGTTTCGTTACCCAGGCGTCCACCGAAAACACCTGCAGGGGTCAATAATCAACTCCGCCGTACAGCACGATAGCAGATCTAACTTCAACTACAAGCACCATCGGTTTCTCACAACCCCTCCCCCCGGCGCACGGTGCGGCCCCCCAGGCCACATCCATTAGCTCACGGAAGGAAACGAAATCCCATCAATCCTGGCAACCCCACTCCCAGTTCACGGGCGAACTCACAGTGTGCTTTTAAGATCCTTTTTTCAATCTAACTTATGTCCCAGCCCACCTCCATATGACCGGTAGAAGCACCCAATCTCAGAAGGAGGGACAGAAACATCCCTAGTACGAAGCGCCGCATGCTGCGCGAGAAGGGGGGAATCCAGGTGGTCCTATACTATCCTTAGCTGGTTGGATTCTGAAGGAAGAGACACGCGTCTATTCAACCAACAACAAACGGAGTAGAAAAAAAAGTGCATTGCTCCCCCTTGTAGATGGAAGGATGCATTGGTAACCATTCGTTTTTGCTCCAGCTTTAGCGAAGGAGTGCGAGGTGGCAGATCGAGGCGGGTGTTGTGATATGATCATGATGGATCACACTTGACCATGCTTTGTCACCCGTAGCTAGTTTCCCTTCTGCCTGTTCTTTTCCTTTGCCTTTCTTTCTCTCTCAAGTACACATACAATCTCACAAGAATCTCTGCTCGTATCACAACAGCAGGGCTGCGCCGAGCCACGAGTGATAGCCAATGACAAGGTCTCTGGGGCTGTGGCGCACACTGAAACAGTTGTTGTTTCAGTGATTTCGTAACACAAGTCTTGCTGGAAAGAACTTCTCATGCAGAATACATGTACTCGAGTACCGGTAGGAGAGGCACTTCCGCTGGCTGAGATGGCAGTATGTAAGCTAGTAGAAGCATAGGCTCGTCCCTTTTTCCACCGTGGTGCGAGGGCATTTTAATCAATCCTTGACTATCTAGATTCGATCTTAAGCCTCCCCCGGAGGATACATTGGGAGCCAATTGCGGCCTCGTTACTGGTTTATGCTGATAGTTCCCCTTGTTGAAAGGGGGAAAGGATTTTATTATTCCGAAGCAAATCGCTGCGGATCATATTCTCTCGTCTTCAACCCCAGCTCGTTGTGTTGTGAGCTTGGTGTTGAGAACGACAGGATAAAAAATCCTTCGCATAGGAAGCGGGGTATCCGAACCGATGAAAAGCGAAGAAGGATGAGTTATCGATATTTTGCGGTTTATTGGACGGTTAAAATGCTCGCATAAAGAGCATTCTTTTCTTTTCTTCCCCCCCCCCCTACTCGCCCAACTGGTAGCTCTGCCTAGTCCGGAGTCAGCCGCCCGTGGAACCAACCGTCGCATCGGAAACCGGGAATCGGGGTGGGTTAACTGGAAAGCGAAAAGTTCACTTATTGGGCGCCTCGAAGTATTTTTTTTTCCTGCTATAGTAACCTCCTTATCTCTTATTCCAGATAACGGTGTTCAGACAAACGGTAGGTTAGGGATGAACACCTTAGATGGAAACCTAGTGAGCTGTTGAAAAATAATTGATATGGAGGTAATGATCAGTGGTGAGGGTTTACGCAGTGGAGTAGAATCGTGCGAGTGGAGATACGAGGTTTTTACTCAGGTGAAAAGGAAAACCATGATTGATTGCTTAGAGATGACTGAGAGGAAGAACTTAAGGGGAAAGGCAAACTATAGGAAGTGGTTGTCTTGTAAGAGGGAACAGAAGGGAAGAAAAGACAGGGATGAGAAAAGTTTTCATGGCTTACGCGTCTTTCGGGGGTACAGGCATATACTACTGACGCCTCCATGTATGAGCACATCCCTCACCAAGTGCGGCCATCAAGTGCTATTTCCAACATGAGCCAAAAATTAGGGGGCGAGTGAGAAACCGTGGTGCTCCACATGGTACCATAGCCGCATTTCTAATGGTTCGGCGGCAGGAAGTGCGTGTTTAGGCATATTGCATCAAACTCCCTCCCTAAAGTAATGGGGAGGGTACCGGTAGTCTTTATTGTCCTTCTCTCGCACCAGCTAGTCTCGGGTATTGTGGGACAAGTACATTACAGTAAGAGTACGCTACTTGAGTAGATGGTATACCAATATCGGTGCCCCGTATCGCGATCAAGTCGACAATCCTCCTGAAGGGACCAATAGGGATTTGTCCTGTCTTTATGTACCGCACTATGCCATACCGGTCCCAAGCAACAATGTTCTTCCAAACACCTTGCTGGAGCAACCTCTCGTAGTATCTGTCGGGACAAGAGTCCGCGATACGGTAGGCAACGTTTATTATTCAGTGATAGCCCTGTAAGACTGAATTAAGTATTTACGAAGACCTGCGGATTCTTATAGAAGTTACATACTTGGGGCCAGGAACGTTTGCTCGTCTAGCTGGTGCTTGCTTGCTGAGTGGAATTGAATTGTAAATTTTCCCGTCGGGTTGAAGAAGACTGACATGGGGCAGTCAGGAGAAATAGAGTTCAGGGGTCCCGCGCTGGTTGCAGCTGTTCTATTAGAATGTCATACACCCGGGCGGTATTTGGCCGCATCTCTCGAGCGAGCAGAATCACCAAAACCTCTTGAGGCGGTACCCTATTTATGAACAAAGGTCCAAAGACTGAGGGGGTGTTTGGCAAGCGCAATCGCGGTTTGAGATGACCGTTTTCCAAACGCCCCCGTTATTTGTTGGATCTAGGTTTAGACAAGTTTATTGGTGTAATTGTTTTTTTAAACATATTACTCCTGCTCAACTTGGGTGATTAATTTTTTTTAACCTGTTAATCTTATTAACGAACACTGTCATAATCACATGGTAATATGATAGAGTGCGGATATCGTTCCCAAAGCTCTGGATCAATGATTTCCAGTGTAGGAAAGCAAGCACTAAAATTTTGTAATTATCGTATGACTACTGTGTCTAAGGCTGCCCTCCGTAAAAAAATTTGTTTTAACCAATTTTGTTTCTTAAACTGATAACTCATGCCATAATCCAGCCCAAGAATTCATAATTTTGGCTGGTAATTCTGCTAGTTTTGGCTAATCTGGATGTATTGTCGATCATTGCCTTAGCTGTCCTAGCTATTGCCGATCATCCTCCTAGCGCCAGACTAGATGTGCGTGAAACTCGGGAACGAACGAAGAGATTATCGCTTCTGTTGCCGCCTCCGAGGGTTGTAGCCTCTCCTGGTTTCTTGGCTTTTTGTTTATAGATACTATCCTAAATATTAGCACTGTGAAGTCTTGCATGAAATGTATGATACCGTCCTTGAGCTAGTATAGTAGATTCCAGGAAACTAAGTACCTGAGAATGTGATTGAGTACCAACTCATGTACAGTACTTGTACATTCCAGAGCCACTGACAACATACCGACTATTGACACACTTAGGTTACCAGAGCTCCTGCCGTGAGTGTCAAGATCACCGCTCCAATATGTCAGGGTAACGAAAAGAAGGTCTTCAAGCCGGAACCTTGGGACTCGTCCTCGGCAAAAATCATGTCGATAACAGCTGAGACAAAGATGGCTGCAAGAACCGCTAATCCTCCCGGCTCTATGTTTGGACACCCGTCGGTGTTGTCATAGGAACGGGCCGGACCCCGGACCCTTATTCATTGATTGGTAGTATTTAAGCGTATCTCTTCTCCCTCACCTCTTTTCTACGTTATCTCCTTAACTCTCATTAGTCGTAAAACGACACTCACCAACTTTCAATCTTCAAAATAAAACATCGATTAGCCAATCATGACACCAACAGTGATTAGTACCCACAGCTCACCCGGGACTACCAGCGCTCCATTGGAGGATAGAATGGGCTATCCTGAGCCAGGTGCGGGTATGAAATTTGAGAGCGGAGAGGTTAGGAGACGATACCTTAAAGAGAGGCTCGCAGCTGGATTCAGGGTTTTTGCAAAATATGGGTTCGACGAAGGGGGGGTCGGTGAGAACCCCCATGACTCCTGATCGCTATCCATTACAGATCTGACAATGTGTGCTATAGCCGGTCATATATCCCTTAGGGTAACATAATCACAACTCTCCAAATCATTGGCACCACTAACGCGAACAGGATCCAATCAACCCGAATGCTTTTTGGGTAGGCTGAAACCGCCCCCTCCCCTTCACTCTACCCCCACCCGAGTGTCACTCACGGGGTTTTAGTTTAACCCGTTTGGTCTTCACTTTGCCTTGATCAAAGCTTCGGATTTGCTTCTCGTGGATGAATCCGGGAAGGTCATTGATGGCGGCGCAAATCGCTACATCAATGTTGCTGGCTTCAAGATCCACTCGGCAATCCACAAAGCTCGTCCTGATGTTAACTGTGCTGCACATGCCCACTCCCTTTACGGGCGGACATTTTGTGCTTTTGGAAAACCCCTAGATATCATCACCCAGGACAGCTGTGCGTTCTATAATGTTAGTTTCTGACCAATTAGTTTAGAGGCAGATACTGATCAGTATACGCTACCAGGATCACGCGGTGCACGAAAACTTCAGAGGCGTAGTCCTAGAGGAAGACGAAGGTATTGCTATTGCTCAGAGCCTTGGAGTAAAGAAGGTAGGTTTCTCATGAGCTTGCCAGTATTAGACCATAGTTGATTAACCGGCAGTATAGGCATTATTGCTCCAAAACCATGGGCTACTTACCGCCGGTGGAACAGTAGAGGAGGCCATATACTGGTTCCTATCCCTAGATAAGTGTTGCTATACTCAATTGCTCGCAGACGCAGCTGCAGCCGGTAATGGAGGAACGGCCAAGAAAATCGGGGACAAGGAGGCACTAGATAGGTATGTTCCCGTGTCATTTCTCCTAAGTTTGCTAGGGAGCTGACCCCTTTGGCCAAACCCAGTTGGAAGGTGGTCGGCACTAGCAAGGGCGGACACTTCGCAGGGTGTTCAATTTTCGACTTGATTGAGGCTGAGACTAAGGGGGATTATAAAAACTAGCTCCCTCCCCAGTCAGTCGGCCATTCAAGTTTTGATAGACTAAATCAAACCTGATGCCAAAATTATGTGTATATATACCTTGGGATATTAGGAATTACTTTGTGGGCTGGACATGAACTTAGCTAGAGCAAGTGAGGCGAGCAGGAGAAGTGGAGTAGTTCCTTGTGAAGATTTTCTGTTCTATCGGAGCGAGTAGACGTCGTCGAGGTTCCGGATTGGCATAGAAAACCTGGTGTTGCGTTGCACGATATCTTAGCTTTCCGTTAAGGAGTGGTGCTACTAGCGGATACTTAGCGGGCTGTGAGGAACTTGGGGTACTCTAGGGGCTAGGGATCTGAAGTTTGAAAAGTGAGTGATCTGTTGTGATATCAATAGAGGGTGGCAGGGCTATGATTGTTGGAAGGTGAAAGCCCCGGGGGTACGAATAGTGCTCCGGGTGGACCTATTATGTGTATTTGTACCTTATTTCCTTCTTTTTTGAACTGTTTGGTGCCCGTGTTTCAATGGGTCTAGAGGAATTCCCGCCATTTCTCCTTGTATTCCGTTAGTGTGTCCTGACGGAGGGCCAGGAGCCAAAGGAGAGACCCCTCGCTTTGTATTGAGGCTGGCCTCATGGCCCGTGACATCTGTTTTCATCCTTTTTTCTATGTACCTTTCTTCTGGGGAGTAATAGCGCATCATGCTAGAGAATTTCTTTTTCTGGCTGAGGGTTGGGGAGGCGATGGCACCAATGGTTGTACTAGTGCACTATAGAGTAAAAGCCAGAATCCATGCCATTATCATCCGGTTAAGTGCGAATGGTATCCTCCTCAAAGTTACAAGGCGTGGGGAAACGTCGTTTCCAGCCGCAATCGATTTAAGCAGTAGCTGAAGACCGGACCTTGGGAGTCCATAGAGTTATTTAGGGAACTCTGAGAAATTGTCGTAATATCAGTATCTGGACTAGTGCCATACTTCCCCGGGAACTAGATGGCGCCCGCCCGTGTGCCGGTATTGCTTATCCACATTTCCAAGGTTATTGTGGCGCCTTGTCTAAATGTGATAGTGATCAACTCAAGTACTCTCCCTATATTTTTGTGAAACAATCTAATTTAGGTAAGCATTAAACAGAGGGCTGGCCGCTAGTAGAACCAGGCGCCTTCACCTGGTAATCGATGCGGAAGTGAATACAGCACTTTTATAATTAGATAGTTCGTCCTAAAAGTAGGGTCCGGGGAACACCTGGGGTCATTCGTGATACTAGAGGGCTCCAGTTTACAGGATATCTTAGACTGCCATAAAAGCTTCCTATCCAAACCAGGGGACCGTAGAGTTGTGGATAGGTTAAGTTGGGGAAATATGTGATATTGCTAGAGGCCCAGGTCAGAGCCTAAAGGGAATGTTGTAGTGACCCAACACATGTATTCATAGTCTATACTAGGCCGAATCTCTATCCATACTAGAGGCCTAGAGGGTGACGCATAGGAACAGTTGAGTATACTCTGGAACGTAGGTATGGTATGGTATAAATCACTTGAAATGTAGACCAGGGTGATGCATTTTTATAACGCCCCTCTACATTCTAGTTTAATGATTTTTAATAAAAGTTGTGATTTCTCTCCCAGTCATTCAACTCATCCTTATTTTTAACCCATTCTAAACAACATGTAATTTTCTGATTGAATATTTTAAACCATTTTTCACCGGACAAGCAAGTTCAAAAATGGAAATACGGAAGTGAAAGTGGCGGAAATAAATGGTTAACTTTAACTTAATTGAAATAAAATTGTAATAGATATTAGTAAATTCCATTTTTAGTTATATTTGGCCCTGCAATTAACTAAATTCCAGGTATTACAAAAGTGCACCACGCTAGCACACCTTTTTTAAGCGCTTTATACCACACCCACCGCCCAGGGAACCAGCCACATACAGAAAAACACTTCAGAACTTGGATTTGTAAGTGCTTAGGTATGATATCATGAAAATGTGAGCTGAGATCGAGCGAAGATACCGGGCACTACTCAAGGAATAAGAGAGAGTGTTACCTATTGGGTGAGGGAGAAGGGGGAAGAAAAGGAGCACGATACTTTCAGGTAGACTTATATCATACTAGAGAAAGTAACGACGATGTCACAGGACATCGCTCGGGAGGAGACAAAGTAGGACCCAGTGGAAACCGCAGACGCAAATTCCATGGGATTGGACTTTGGACCTACGGGCGGAGCCGAATGAAAGGAATTACGGACAACTGTGCAAAGAACAAACCCAGCATCCAGACCTACGATCAGCGATTCAATATCGAGTAATTTTTCATGGCTCTCTTGCGACATTGTGACGGTACGGTTAGTGCCCGTCGTCTGAAAGATCGCCAATGCCGGTACCCCCCCTTTCTCTGAAGTGTGGATTTAGTCGCCTTTCTGAGAAGCCATATAGATCTGTTTATCCATCTTCGTGTGTTCCCCCCTTCCCCCCCCCATACTTTCCCTTTTCAAGAAATTTAGTGTCTCTAATTGTCTCGGGTTCCTTTTGGGAACTAGTTCTCATGGCATCCAACGTTATCTATCTTGGGGGATGGTATCCGTATCCCAACCTCACGGTGGTGTCGGTGATACGGCGATTTTTTTTTTGATTCTTTTTTGTTAAATCCCTTAATCGTTTAAATACGGCGATACCCTTTTGCATTGTATAATATAACTAGGTACGTTTATTCTTCCGTGGCGCTTGAGCGAAGATTTCATATAATGACCTATTCTAAGAAGCACGTTTCCTCCGGGTATCGCGATTACCTTTTGGAACTCCTCTTCTTCCCTGTCTTCTTTTTCGCCCTTGTCTCCTCCTCATCCTCACTGTCATCACTATCATCATCTCCCCGCTTGGACTTCTTGGCGCTACCGCTACCCTTCCGCTTTTTCCTCCTTCTCTTACCGTTCTCACTATCTTCATCCCGATCTTCACTGTCGTCGTCATCTTCATCCTCCCCACTATCTGTGCTGGTATCCGATTCGCTTTCACTCACTTCCTCCTTCTTGCTCCTATTAAACGTTGATCTTCGTCGTGGGGGGTATCCTGGATAATTATCCTTGCGCACCTCTTCCAGTTCGGCAAGGTCTGCATCGTTCAATCCGGAGTAAACTTCCTTAAGGTACTCGTCAAAGTCCTTACTGGCCTTCGCAACTTTAACAAACTTCTGACGGGTGAGTTTCGCCGGGGGGTGAATCATGTCCTCGGCACCCTCCACACCGGCTTTGACCGCGGCTTTCTTGGCATCAAATTCGGCAAGCGCTATCGCCGTCTGAAAAGCATTCCGGATCTGTCTCCCGTTCCACTTCAGTTCCTTGTAATGTCTCTTGGCATAACCCAGAATCTCAACACGATCAACTTGAATGTTCTTCTTCCCTTCTTGAGTGCGTGTCAAGTTCATGTCCCACACGGCGAGATATGCTTTCCGATCGAGGGGGGGGTAGTAGAGACTTATGTGGATACGGGATTTGAAAGCTTCGTCGAACATGCCTACTCGGTTGGTTGTAAGGAAGAGGATTCCGGAATAATACTCGAGAACACGTAGGAAGACTGAGACAAGACTATTACGGCGAAGGTCGGCCTTGTCACGCTTTTGTAAGAAAATATCGGCTTCGTCAAGGAGAAGAACACATCCCCATTTGTGCGCGAGGTAAAAGTGCTTTTCGAGGTTTTCTTCAACTTCCTTAGCTTCAGCTCCGATATCACCTAATTATCTATTAGTATCTATGGTTTGGGCCCTATAGGGGTTGTGTGGAGCGTTACCGCAGGTTATCGCGAATAGAGGCCTTCCGGTAAAGTCGGCAACACATTCTGCATAACTTTCAGCAAGTGGTGCGATCCTTTGGAATATGCGCAATACCTGCTGTCGAAGTTTTCCCCACCCCCGGAGCACCGTGAAGCAGAATAATAAGTCCTTTGCCTTTATTTTTCCAAGATAAGCACCGTGTGAACGAAGGTAGGGGACTTTGTCAGGGTTTACCTTTCCCGCGAACGAGATCAACCTCGTGTTCCCCGTCGTGAACTGTACCCGTGGTGGGTCTTGAGCCCCGAGAGTGTGTTTGGACCAACGCCTCGACCAAGTCCCGATGCCCTTTTGGCAAAACTAGCGAATTGAACCCTTCTTTGCGACTCGGAACATCCCTCATTAATGTGACGTCCAACGGGGCTACCCAGATTTGTCAGACTAGCGCGGACTACACTGTCGGGGGAGATAGAGACTTACTCCACTTCCGGCTTCTAAGTACGAACCCAAATATCCGCTCTGGCAACAGGATAATAAGGGAATCTCCGAGTTTTTTGTGCTCCTGGGCCTCGTCGAGAAGCTTCGCTTGGGATGCGAAGATTTCCAGATGGTGCTTTATTTGGAGCTCTATGCCAAAGTCCTCATGCTTTTCGCAGAAGCTTCCCTGCCAGCAAAGAGTGGCGCATGTAGAGGGACCGGACTCGTTTGCCTCGCGGGGATCCCGCGAGGTAGCAGTGTCAAGACCTAGCTTGGGAACCCAATCGGGGTTGAGCTGCAGAGCGAGTGTTGGGTCTGCAATTACCTGACTTTGAACCTGCGACAAAACTATGAGCAATGGAAGAAAAGGCCTGCGGATGGATGAGGTGCGCTACCTCTTCTTTCGGTTCGCTAAGACTCAATCCTTCGTAATACTTATGAGAAACGTCTAGCATCGTCAGAAACGACTTTCCCCGGTCCAAGAGCCGTCCTCTAGTCTTTTCCAAATCTGGCAGAAATTTCAATGGATACACCGGCAGTGATGTAACCGGTTTCTCGCCTTCGTAGGGGCGGATTTCAATCTGCTTTTGAACACCACCCAGATGTAATCCATCGAAATCAATTGAGTAACAGTCAATGATGAAGGGGCTCGCAGTATCGTGTCGTCTGTACAATGGTTCACCCTTACCATCGTCATCTCTTTTGGCACGGAATATATCATTGTAGTTCGGTGGGTGGTTGCGCTCGCATATACTGCCTGTAAGCTCCTTCATCATACGGCTGTACAACTTGAGATTCCCCCGGATGGCCTCAGTTTTTCGGAGAGGACGGCCCCCGGTGGTGGCAAGGACACGATAGACTTGCGGATTATCGACATCCTTTTGAGAATAGATTTCCTCTCCCGCAGTAAAGAGGAGGTCGATATCTGTGAAGGCTATTTTTTTGACACCGCCGTGTTTGATTGCTTGGACGAGGTCAAAATCGGATTTGCATTCTTCATCAATAAACTTTAGAAGGCAGCGAAGGTCTTCCATATCTTCTTTTGTTTCGGTAATATTCTCTACAGCCACTTCAGGGACTAGATTGCTGCCCCAGACTGCGAAAAGAGTTAGCTTTCAATAAGCAGGTTTAGCGGGAAACACGTTTACCTCCTCCGCCAGGTTCATATATCACGGTAGGCGTCTTATCCCTATCATCTGCATTACCTGGGTCTTTATCGACATGAATTTTCTCCAATTCTTCTAGATAGCCCCCTAGTAGATCTCGGTGTCGCATGAGAAATCTGAAAGGCCTCAAGAACATGTACGAGGTACCAAAAGACTTCGTAGTAAGCTTCTCTAAGATCTTCAATACTGGCACAGAATTAATTCTCAGCCTCTCCGCTTTCCCGGCACCACTCGCTTCGCCCACTTCCGCCGGATCAGAAATCAGGATATCGAGAACATGCTCCCCCTCTGCCAGTCTTGCGAGTTCAAACTCCTCGTGTAACATCCTGTTTGGCTCCCTACGCATCAATTTCGCTGGGGCCACCGCCTCGTCCTCCTCGACCGGATCATCCGGCTTGTATTTCACGATATGCGATTCCAAGTAAGCTACACGGTCTTCCAGAAGTTTCATATAGCTGGTTGACTGCTTGATACGTTTCCGTGCCGCCTTCCGTCGTTTGTCCAAGGGTTCCCAGCAACTATGCTTCACTTCCCACACGTCGGCCTCATCGGAGGTGATTTGATCTTCCTTGAACTGGCCGTGGGTTTCCACATCCGCATCTGTGTCCTTCCCGCCTGGTTCGATTGAGGTTTGAGAGGAGTCGGTTGTGGTGCCCTTTGACTCTGAGGATGTAGTAGCATCTTTTGTCTCAGAGGTGTCGTCTTTCATCTCGGAGACCTCAAGCTTAGGTTCAGTAGTTTCAGTCTTTGGTAAACTTCCCGTTTCTGCCATCGTTGTATCTTGAGGTTCGCTTTCGGATCTTATATCTGGATGAAGGGCTGTCTTGGTACAAGTACTATCCTCAGTCGCTTAACCACGTCTGAACATCAGTAAATAATACTCAGGAACCTGATGGGTTTCTCGGCGCGTTACCGGTCTTTTGAGGGAGACTCTCCACCCTTCCAGGCTTCGGATGGGGTCGCGTACTCAATAGGGGCTCTAGGTGCCTGACAACACAATAAATACTCTACTCTGCGAGTGTTAACATATTGGGGATCAAAAGGGACCAACCATTACGGCTAATGCCGCTAGCTGCTGCTTACCGATCTGAAGAGGGGGGAAAGGGTTATTTTCACTTTTCCATCGAGACTGCGCCTCTGCTCAAGCGTAAATTCGTCAACTCCCGAATCAGTGCGGGGGTCAACATCATGGCAAGAAATCGCCTACAGTATCGTCCTTGAGAACTCGTACTAGTACTAGTACATTATCTCCACCTTTGCCTGTTTGAATCTCCTCTGTGCTTCTAGCACAGCACTGGTATGAGTGGTTTTCGAAAGCGAATGAAGAGGCGGCCGCATTGAATCCCGGCTCCTGCATGTTGCACAGCTATGCAGAGCTTTGATTACAGTACTATCGAATTTAGGTTCACAAGCACCAACATGTTGTGATCAATCTGCAAAAGAACTTATCGCAGGGGGTCTGACTGGGCGCGAATTTAGTACCGCAGATTACCAAGAGGATGACGAGCCCCAAGATAGAAGGAGGGTTGGATAATCATTTTCCCAAGTGCCACAGCAAGTGAGAGTGCACCCCGGCCGGGAAAGGACACTTTTGTCGACACTTTTGACCAGCAAAGCACCGGTACATAGAGCAGTGAAGGAGCACCCCGCCGGCCCAGAGGTCGTGGTATGATACTTTGAATCACCTCCCCGATAACCTCCTGATCGCTCGTTTATAGAAAGCGCCCCTCTCTATTTTCTTTTTAACCTCACCTAGGTTGCAAGACAGTGGGGGAAGGAGACTGGCGTTTCTTCAAGTCACAATATTCAACTCAACTTAAATAACGCGGCCAGCGGCAGCCTAATATGGCTAGAGAAAGTAACATTAGGCTAACCGTCACTGCTGCTATCACGTGCTTCTCAGAAGCCATGTCCCAGTTGCCCCCATTTCGTCACTCGAGGAGTATCACCCGTACACCAGAAAAAGCACAAGTACCTACGCTTGTGGAAATCAGAACCCGAAAAAATACCTGCACTCGAGTAATCACAACTACCGAACGGGGAAAAAAAGCACTCCCATTCTCATACGGTACTGCAAGCTTGATGCCAGATACGGGTAGCATAATCTGAGCTGTCCAGGATGCGCATGAATCAGTGGTGGAGGTGATATCGGTCGCCTATCAGAAAAGCAATCCACCCCACAGTCCGGGGGCAGAGGTTCCCAAACTTAGCCTACCGTATGGCACGGTATTCCCCAGCTATCTACACAACCGAAACGAGACCAAAAGTGCGCCATGGGCCACTTCGCCCCATTTCTCTACTTGTGGCCCCGCCTCTTCAACCATGCTTAGCGGATAGAGATGCGGAACTGCGCTTCTCCCCGCTTCTGAGGACGAAATCTCACAGTACTTGTATTTAATCGAAATCTCAACCCGAGCTGCTCCTAGCCAGCACGACGCAAAGTCTATGCAAACGATCCAGTAAAATGCCGCCAGATAGATGCCTTAGCAATGCAGCAGTGGAATACATTGAAACCAGGGTGGATGGCCAGCTGCACTCGGCTTTCGAGGATCCTAATACAGGAATAAGATACAACCCCACGATAGACCAATTTCTGGACCAGAAGCGACTCGAATTGCAACAGCAGCGACAACAACAGGAATTACAAGCCTCCATTCAACAGTATTCTCCCTTCCCGTCCCCCCCGTCGCCGTGCCGCGCTGATAAAATGCCGGGTAATAGCCCGACATATATAGACAAGCTCGTCAAAGAGCGGGAAGAAAGATTCCAAGAAGCTCTTGACGCATACCTCAAAACTCCCTCTGCCGAAAGGACCCCGAGCAAGCTCGTGGGGAATACCACATGGGACGACGTTCAGAAACTAATGCGCAAGGCTGAAGACGAGTACCATGACGTCGGCACCATACGCAAACACCTGCGCAAATTCAGTGAGAACGCGCCGATATTCAATTCCTGGCTGACCTTGCTGCCCCAGGCCTCCTACTCCTCTACCATATACGGCGGCTTTAGGATCATGTTCGATGCCGCGGCGAAGCTGCACGATGTACGTGAGAAGGTGTTCGAGATACTCGGCGAGATCCCGGACAGGATTGCCAAGACGCAGGTCTACGCCGAGCTCTACCGGTCTTCGCAGCAGGTACAGGAGAGGAGCGCGGAGTTGTATGTTGCGATTCTGGATATTTTTGAGCATGTGCTGGGGTGGTTTGCGAAGAAGCCGGGGAGTATGATTACCGTTACCTTTTCACCCCGGGTGGGAGAATGGTGGTGACTTACCTTGATATGAATGGGGGGAGTGTAGGGAAATTCGGAAAAGCCTTGTTGAAAGGCGAACTTTATTCTAAAGAGATTGACCTGAAGGTATCGAAGATGAGGGATGTTGCGAAGAACTTGAGGGAGGAGGCAAAGCTATGTTTGCACGAGAGCTTGAGGGAGATGAAGAACGGTTTGTACCTCATCGCTAATGTATTCATATTTTGGGAAGGCTTGCTGATGCGGGGTTGTGCCGTAGGAAGCGTGCTACAAGATAGCAGACTCCAAAATATGGAATCAATGAACCACGAGATCCTCCGCAATTCACTCAACGCAAATTTTACTACCCAGATGCAGAACCAGATGTTAACAGAAATCTACAATAAGGTATACCAGCTCCTCCAGAGCTCGGCCAACTATGACAAAGACACCGGACAAGCCAATGTCCCGCAGATCGAGAGTGACGCCCGCGGGCGGGTGGCCCAACGGAAAGGTTTAGAACACTCTTCCCCTCACCCGACCAATTAATACCAGGCTAACAAAGCGGACAAACAAAGTCTACTCAATTGAACTTTTGAGCTCGCTCTCATTCTCCCCCGGCGACCTCGCAACCGCGGTAAAAACCTCCCTACGCCACGGCCACGGCGCATCACTCGCGGAGAAAGACCGGGCGAACTGGATCATGAAGTCACAGCGCATGAGCCAATGGCTAACCTCCACAACCCCCAGCACACTGTTAATAAACGGTAACGGCGAGCACAAGAAGATCTCCCCGCTATCATTCATAGCAGCCCTGCTGGTGCAATCATTAACCCAATCTGATGTTCCGGTCCTATACTTCTTCTGCGGTGAAAATACCAGCAGCAGTGGTGGTGGCCCGTCAGACTTGATACGTAGCCTAACAGCACAATTGCTAACACACTACGATTTCGACCTGACCACCCTCCGTCACACGCGAAAGGGCACGCCAAAAACGACGAAGCAGCTATGCACTCTATTCGAAGGCCTCCTCGCACAATTACCCGACGACTCATTGCTCTTCATACTCATTGACGGGATCACGTACTTTGAAAACGCGGATCGCCGCGAAGAGACATGTTTCATTATTGAGAGACTACACGAGATCTCCCAAGGCGCCCACCCGCTTGTTAAGGTTTTGGTGACGGCGCCGAGTAAGAGTCGGTATGTGGTTAAGGTGCTGCAGAGTGATGGTGGAAGTGATGACGATGGGAAGGCGGGGGGGATGAATGAAGGTAGCGGCTGGGGGGTTTTGCATGCTCCCGTAAATCCGGGTGGTGGAAGAGTGGGGCTTAGTGTGCCATATTGGGAACGGCGGACTACTGGGAGTGTTACAGACTTAAGGAGAGCGGCGGAAGAGCAGAGCGACGGTATAGTGAGAGAAGAGGAGGATGGTGGGAGGAAAGGGAGGAAAGGGAAGGGAAGAAGGAGGGCAAGGTCGGAGGAAGGGAGGACGAGGGGGAGGACACGATAAGTATACAAGTGGGGGAGGGGCAATGGCGGGAAGGATATGATAATTGAACGATACCCGAAGATATCCCAGCAGAATATAATGTGCTCAAACCCGAAGTAGGGCCCCTCGAGGAAGCTCGAGGGTGTGAGCCGGTTATTTGAGATGCAACAACCCAATTAGTTCTTAACCAAATTGAATAAACCAACTGAGAATAATCTCGGAGAGTAAAAGAAACAAGCGGGGCTTTAAAATCACGGTTAGGGTCTCAAATGCCACTCGTTTCAAGGAAGAAAAAAAATCCCCCAACTATCACCGTGCCCCCAAATGCCAGACCAGACCGGTCGTATAAGTCACGACAGGAATCAAGACTAGTTTTTACTAGTATACCATTGATCTACTACCCAGACAGTTGTTGAAATTACCACGAAGATGGAAGGCCAATTAGTAACCCACGAGCAAGCAGCAGAAATCAACAAATGCCCACATGGAATACTATTATCCTGGTATTCCCCAGCGGTGCAAGTCCCATCCTCGAGCTTGACAATTTCCATACTCTCAGTGGATTTAATATGTCATGGATCTGATCAGCCATGAAATCTCCATTCTACCCCACCCACAACCTCCCCTCACCACAGTCTAGGTATAAAACATGCCATACAAGACTGAAGGGCCCATACAGTTAGCTGTTTAGTATCATATCTCCCAACTTTTTGGACATGTCATGCACATCTCAAGTAGAAAATTTAATCCTAGTAAATACTATCTATTATAGTAAATCTGCTGCGGAACTTGCGAGTAGATTGGCATTTTGAGGGAGTTTTTCCCGAAAACAGCAACATTTGAAACCCCTAAAAGAAACCGGACAAGCCAATAAGGCTATTGGAGAAAGAAAAGAGAAAGAGAAAAGCCAAGGTCCAACAAAACTAGGGAAAAAAAGGTGGGGTGGACAGACTCCAGTCAGCGAAAGTGAGCTAGGCGAGGTAGCGGAGGGTTTCGCAGTTTCACTGGCACAACTGATTATACCGCTTGCGGGAGAGAGAGAGGACAAGACAAGACGGCAAGTTAGTGAAGGAAAGATGTCTTGGGGTCTGCATTGTGATATGTACAGTACAGTAAGTATAATACTACGCCGTACTCGAGTGCAAAGACCGGTATAATACCGGTGTTATGATGTCAGGAAAGTGTTCACGCCCCAAGTACAAAAATTCTCCATGCCTTATCATGCCTTTTATTTTACAAGAATTATCTTACCCGCGGGATGCTTAAATCCCCCCATGACGCCAACTCACCCACCTTCAATAAACCCAGGCTGCTGATTCCATGTAGGAATTTACCCACCAACGCTGACAGGAACTCACTCTTTCCACTTCTACTCGAGTACGCGCTACCGGGTCATAAAAACGGTAGACCTATACTTGACCGCTACGGAGTAGCTGTAGGAAATGGAGTGTTATACACCCCGTTCTCTTGCTCGGCGCCTTCCAATATAACCGTAAAAAATTAACATATATAAAACACAATGAAAGAATCCTTCTCGTTCCATCGGTCATCCCACCTATCGCTTTACTGTGATTGTCCCCATTCCCTCGTGTGCCACCATGAAAGCAAAGAGGGGGCATACTCGTGGAGAAACTTCTCTATAAAGCACAATAATTCCCGAACAATGGAAAAGACCCACAGCATTCCCGAAAACTCCACCATCAACTGCACCTCACTATCTTCCGCCATCAGCTCACCCAGTACCGCAGTGTCCGATATGGCGGAAGGTTAGTTACACCCTTCAGATCACAACCGCAGAGTCGTACCCTTTAGAAATCCCTAGCAGAATTGGCCTCTGTGGAGCTACGGAACGTAGCAAAGTTTCTGCTGTGTCTCTCCTGGCTTACAGAATAGCTGACGTTCAGCTTGGCCCGGAGAATCTCCATACCCGGCAAGGCTATAATACTCGCCTTACTCTAAAATCCCCGTTCATACATACATATTCCGTGCATCGTGCGCAAGAGTGGAAAAAACACTACTTCATCCCTATGGCGCAGTCCGCATACCAGTATACCAGCTCGCACGTAGGCGAGAGGACGTACAAGCGAAAAAATAGAAGCTCAGAACTCCTCCGCCGACTTTCAACGTCGATCTCACCAGTGAGTGGCACATAAAGTCCTACCCTATGGTATAAGGGCACACTACGCATCACGAATGCTCAGGCCGTAATAACTGATTGACCCTATATAGACCTCACGGAGCCCAAGCGGTACGAGATTCATCCACGACCCCGGAGCTTTCCAAGCCTACCCGGTGAGCCATGCCAGCTCAAGCGCAGGATTATGTGGGGCTCGGTGGGTAAGCGCCAAAAACTATAGTACCTTCACTAGATTTTGTGCCGTCTTTAAGTGGCTTTCTTGACCTCCAAAGCAATTGAACCCTTCTTCCATGAGTTCCCTTGATCTAAGATGAAAACGGGCCATGTACTGCAACCCCACTCGGACTCCCCTTTACACGGATTCAACATATCTGTAGTGGTCACCCCTCCAAATCCAAAATCCAAGATTGGAGGTCACCAAGTACCATCCGCAAAAATATTCACTCAAGTTTCCCTTGCCATACCGGCGGCCCACGGACCTAGTGATGCCACCGTGACAAGGGAACTACCATACATCCACCCCCATCTACATCCGTTCGCGGACCGATATGTGAGAATAACACCCTTTTCTCAAGATGCATTTTTCACAATCAACCACCCCTTAGTCTAGCAAACTGCCATCCCCCCGGGAAAAAGTCACCCTAGACGGGCCACCCCCCCCCCCCCCCCTCGTTTCCCTCTCGCGAGCCCGTCGGGAACCACGCAGGAAATGTTTTCATATCACAGAAAGAACGATCAAGAGAGCCACAGTCAAGAGAAATAGATTCGATATCCAGAACCGATAGTTAAATATAGCGTAGATAAGAGGCGAGAAGGGATGAAAGGTGTAACCAATAATTTAGCATTCTCAGGCAAGATTCAGCAACCCGCCTATTCGCCCACTTCCTCCATAGAAGAGCTAGTCACATCCGCAACTAGCCCCTAACTAGCGAGAAAGCACCCCCACTTATTCATTTCCGACTAAATTCAGGAGTTTCTTGGACTCCTCTAAGTGATTACCTATTTTCCTTTTTCCTTTAGCTCTACTTTATTCCAACGCGCTAACGGATAGGGGATCCCAACTGGTGGTGCGACTAAATTAGCTCAAGATGTTGTAAGCCACAGATAAGGAGTCGGTACTGTGGGGAGGAATCTGGCTCAAGATACGAAAGGACTAGAATATTGAAAGACCGACTATTGTGAGAAAACGTTGCGTTCGCTGCTATAGTACACGTACCCAAGTCCATCCCCCTTATATATAAACTGCAGTCCGATCTAGATACATCAGGATGACTCGTATTATCATCCACATAATAGTACCCAGATTGGACACTAGGTAACCGGACAGTCCCGTTCTTTCCATCACATTGAAGTAACAATTTCGACACAAGACTCGGATCAGCCTCGAGTGACCGATGATGAAGCCAGATTCTTCCCCTCCTCACCCACAACTCGGTGAAGACACCCCACCCCAAACCACTGTGAGAGCCAACAAGAGCCCAAGTGTGACACGCACATTCCATAGGTTCTTAAACAAAACAATGGAACAAAACAACGAAATTTGTTCAGCTGGCGTTTACATCCCAAGTATACACCCCTTCCCACAGTAAATTCCACCCTCAGAGCACCAAGCTTGCAATCCGGAAATGGTGTGCGGAAATTATCGAACGAGATATGCACAATAGTGCAATGGTCGGGCATAAAATCCAGCACCCCACACATCGCATCCCGCACCTTAGATTTTGGCCAAAAGTATTGCCGCAGCACCCCCAACCCCTCTAGCGACAATTGTCAAACAGATGGGGGTAAATATAACCCTTTTGTTTCTTTCTTATTCCAATTATTCGCTTTCAATCGTTAAGTTACATCTCTGGACTTGGGGTGCGAAAACAAGAACCCCCCTTCACCAATCATTCCCCGAAGCCCTGTCCGAGGCGAGAGGGGCAGAGATCGTCGCGAGGCCATTTCCCCAGTGTGCGCTGTGCAGTGCTGCCATGAATACCAAAATTTTAACCAAGAATTACCCAGCACGATACTGTACTAGTACAGTACAGTACTCCAGTATGTGAATGTTGTGTAAACTTCAACCCTTGGATCGTGTCTACAACCAGCAATGCCTCTCTGGCATACAGAATTTTATCCTCCAAAACCCTGGATAAACTACCACCATTCGTGAATACAATTTAACTTTTGAAGCGTACAAAACATGCATTCATGTTTGTGATTTTTTCGAGAGCCATTCAGGGTAACACCCTCCGCCGACATTACCCTTGGCTTTGCATATAAATTTGTCCATGCACAGCGCACTGCTCAGATACTTGAGGTTCCACCGGTAAGGTAATTCGGGCTGCCCAACACCGAGAAAGAGGAAATAATGACAGGAATTAGTCCGGAGGTTGCGAAGCCAAGGCAGCTAAATATAACTGTTTTTTTAAAATATACATGTATACGAAGCCGCTGATCGCAACTTTAGTGTGAGAGTGATATAAAGGAAATTATACTTCATCCCTATCCTTGCCGTTGAGGAGAAAAGAAATCCAAACCCACGATGAGTTGAAAAAAATGAAAAAAAGGAAGAGATATAGAAAAAGCTACCATAATTGGCATCGTTCCTTCAAGACAGACGCCCTTCAGAAAATGGAAATGGAAGTGCAAAGTGGAAGAAAAAAAAGAAAAATCCACCCTTTGCGCATCCTCCCCGTTATTCCAAATGTCCAAATGTTTAGTTGAAAGGAGAGCCCGCAGCTCTTGTGGGGCCAAAAGTCTTAGCGGGCCTCATTCCGCTCGACGTTGGATCCGTCATTGGGGTCGCCGCAGTCGACGAACTCCTCCCCAGAGTTTTACTCCCCGCTGAATTGGCAATCGCTTCCGGGAGTGAATACACGTCGGGTGCTTCAAGCTTGAGCTTAGACAGTCTCGTGTAGAGATCCTGTGAAATAGAGTACTCGGAACCAGGAGCTTGGCTTGTGATCCAGGCCATCCCCAGGCATTCCTCGGCGCTCGGTCGATCCTTGTCACTCGGTTGCAGGACGCGGTGGAGGAAGTCCGCGCAGGGGACGCTGAAACCTATCCTTTCGACTGCAGGGGGAGGGGAGGCTGCGCTCATGGAGTACTTCCACACATCTCTCCGGCTCACGAATAGGGGCTTGCCGGCGACCATCCGGAACAAGATACACCCGAGGGACCAGATGTCTACGCGGTTGGTCTTGGGTTCCTCCGCTTGGTCTGTGCCGTCCATTTCGGGCGCCATGTAGCCTTCCGTGCCCGTAGTAGTCTTTAAGTAAGTAGAGGTGTTAGTGACCGGGATACGCTTTGATGTGCCAAAGTCGCCGATTTTCACACGGAGCACACGGGGCATGTGGTCTTGGATGCAGAGGAATATGTTCTAGTGACTATTAGGCCTTGTCGGCGGTGTTTTAGACGAGGAAGAGTACAGACCTCGGGCTTCAGATCACGATGAGTGATCCCTTCTTTATGCATCACTACCAACCCGCGGAGCAGCTGCTCCATCACTACCTTCGTATCACTTTCTTTCCATCGATAGCCCTTCACAAAGGTCCTTGAAATATCCCCTATAGGGATGTATTCCATAGCAATATACACGTAATGAGTGTCCTCATAAGAGGTGTTGAATTTCACAAACCATTCGGACTATCAATAGGTCAGACCAAAGCTCCCGTAAACCGGACGAGGCCAACGAACAAAGGACGCAAGTTCGGACAAAACTCACATTTGATCTCGATAATTCTTGTAAATTCTTGACCTCAGCTTGATACCGCTTGGCAGGGAAGTCTGGTATGGCCTTCGATATCTTCTTCACGGCCCATAGCTCAGGGGACGGCATTCCGCGCGTTTGGACCTTCTCCAAGAAGACAGTTCCGAAGGAGCCTCTACCGATCTCGTAGTTCAACCTCCAAGCCGGTGGTTCCCGAACAGGGGCGCTATAGACCTCCGATGCTTCGGGAGTGGGATCAGGGGTTTTATCCCTAGGTTCTGTTCATCCGGGATGAGATATCCTCACCATCGCTCAGGAGTCAAGGTCACCCACCTCCGTATATAGCCCCCTCGGCGAAGAGAGGGGAATTGCCAACAACATTGTCCGCACCCAATCTACCGCTCTGGGCCGGGTTCGGAGCCTTCCGCTGAGTTTGGGCATGGTGCTGGGTCGGTTGGCTCTGCCCGGTACCGGGAGTTTCTGCGGCATCGGAACGGCCTGTGGGTAGGTCAATACACAGTTTGAACCAGATAATCAGCAGGAAGCCCAGGTTGAACGGCGCACCTTTCTTCATATCGGGGAAGATTGAATCACCCATCCTAGAACGCAAGAAAGCGTCGGCCGCATCCCCGGAGTTAACGAAATTCATGCTGTTGACATTCCTACTGAAGATTTCGACATTCTGAGGGCTTTAACCAAAGCGGTGGCCAATCAGTCACTAACTCTTCAATAAATTATCCGGGCATTGTACTGCTAACTCACCGTTGGTCATCGGACATCTCGTTTAAGATTCAAGCTGATAAAGTGTAAATGCGGTTCTGTCCGACGCCTCAAAATGCAAACCAATGCGTATGCAAGCTGCCCTCGATAGACCTTGGAAGAAAGGAGGAAGACAGAGTTTGTCAGGACGAGCCTAGCCGTTGGTGATTGATGGATAGCTGCGATGATAAGGTTAGCTCGCCCGCTCCAGGGTTAAGACAAAAATCAGCCCCGCACCCTCCTCCAAGTAACACAAAGGAAGATCGGTTGCGAACCCTAACCTGCCGAATAGAAACGGGAGAGGTTCAAGTGCTCGGGTGCTCGTACCATACAAATTCCGATCAACAGGCGAACAAGGAGCAGAGCAAAAAGTCACGAATAAGGGGAGCGAAGCTGGCAAGAAGGGGGGAAGAAGAAAGAAAAAAGGCTGGGGCGCTCAAACAATATATACCAAAGACTCCCACAAGCAAAGACACACAGTGCGGCAAAACATGGGGAATATCCTCCCCCCTACGCGTATAATAGCAAAATAAATGCAAGAGGATAGCAAGGCTGGACCGCCTCCATTTCGCATACCTGATGCCAAAATCAATGGCGATAAAATATCAGGCCGCCCACCATCAGGGGTTACTGTGCGCAGCCGCAAACCCCAATAACAAGCTACGGTATCCCTATGGCTACGCGTGGAAAGAACGGAGTTTCGCCATGGCGAGGCGGACGGGCACAGCCTGCCAGCTGCCTCGATGAGCCGGTTTGTTCCCCCGTACCAGAGCGTAGCAAAATGCTCGACCCGCAAGAGGAAAGTATTTTATTTTTTTTTCTCTTTGTTCAGCCGCAGTGCGCGGGGCGCTTATCGTCAAGACGGGAGTGGACCCAGTTCCGTACGAGTGGCGTGCTCGAGTATAGTACAGTACATCCATGAGTGAATCGATTGGCAACGCTTGTTCCCTGCCGACGGAGGAAATGCAGCCAGTTCGTTGCACGAGAGCACGGCTACGGTACGGTATAATACAGGTGCTGGAACGGGTATAATACAAGCAGTCCAGTGCCATCGGTACCCTACCCGAGTGCTTGTACCCAGGTGCGGCGCTGGAAACGGGAATGTCCATGTGTTTTAGGAACGTTTGTGAGACGGTGAAGGTGAGGGGGTGAGCTTTCTACCTGTACTAGTACAGTACGGTACAATGCTAACCGCGCTCGCACTGACCAAGCCACCAATACTGGTATTCGATCGGGAGGGAGCAAGGGGGGGTTGACAGCGGGCTTTGGGGCATCAGACTACATAATTACTGCGCTCGAGTAAATTTACACCCGTTTCTACTCGAGCAACTTGACGGCCGTCGTGTGAGTAGCTCGGCACTGCGCTCCCATGATACGGTCAATACGAGTATCATAGTTTATATCGCAATCTATCCACGCTACCGGTATCGCACAGCGGTACATTGTACGCTGTGGGGCAGCACGCCGTAGCCTGGCCGAGGTGTGAAGTGAGGCTTAGAGCCAGTCTGCCCGGGTAACCGCCCATGCGCTGGTTTCAGTCTTTCAGCGGGAACCAGAATCGACGCGAGTTGGTCGTTAGGTTAATTGAAGGATGGAAAGCAAAGTGCATTGAGCCAAGGCATCCCACCGCAGCCAGATCTCCACGCCCCTCGGTCTTGTTGGCCTTGGAAAGGGGGATTCCATGTCTGGAGCGGCCGGCGAATAGCTCGATGAATTCCCCCACCACGCAAGAGGCGGTAGGTGTTACGGCGTGTGAGTGTGATCCAGGTGGCAGCCCGGCGAGGCACACTCCCTCCCTTCAACTTTCGACGAGGCCATCCCTTCCGCACAGTTGAAGCAGAATGAAATGTATATTCAAAGCCGCACGAACCGACAGCGTTCGTTGCGGAGCCGCTTGCACGGTCCCCTCTCCAACTAGTGCCCGTGCCGTTCCAGACCGCTCCCGCCTTCCCTTAGACGAAATACTGTACCGGTCGGGATCCTGGAAATCAAGCGCCAAGGATAAACCAAACTTTGTACCACAATCTAACCCGTCCGCCGTGGGCGGGAGAGTCAAGTGATACGGTACCGGTATCAGACCGGTACTGTACCGGTACAGTACTACCGATAGTACAGTTGTCTGGTCCTGCACTGCCCACGCCACCTTCAGCCCCGCCCGTGACCAAGCAGAATTAATCTTTGCCATCATCCCGGTGACAGAATACGGTACTGTACCAATATGCTGGGGGCTACTGTGCCCAGATATCAGGCTGCATATCACCACACTCGCACCCGTCGTGACAGCATGGTACCCTTGCCGAATCCTCCTCCCTCGCCAGCATTACGATGGCCAACCCGCTCTGCGGGAGTTCTCGCATGATACACAGGTAGCGCAGCGGTGCGGTACGGTCCGTACAGTAGTTGGAAATTCCCTACAGCCTCCCCCGTACCTCGTTGTAGTCTATCCAGCGCGAAACTGGGCCTCGTGGAAAACATGGCTTAGCACTCGAGAGTATTATGCACAGCAAGTAATACTTCCTCGCCTTGCCCCGTCCACCTCCCTCTCCACCAACCAAGCACCCCTGTTCCCTTGCCCGGCTTCGTCGTGGCCAGAAAGCGCAGCAAAAGGTCAATTGCTAAGCCCCCTCTAAGAGACAAGAAAACAGAAAAGCGCCGAATCTTTACCCAACCCCGACGACATAAAATTCGGTCCAATTGCCCGTATTCAAATCACCGCCGTATCAGTGGTGCCTAATTCACATCATAGAGGATTGTTTGCGGAGATGGCCGGGAGAGGTTGAGAGGCAAACAGAATCACTGCTCGATTTCCAGCGAGTGAAAATTTACGGCCCCCCTTGGATATTGTACGGTATTGTGAAGGAGCTTTCTAAACTGCGGCTTGCTACACCCCCACGTCATCGGACTTTTGCCTGAGGTTTGGATGGGGCTCCCAGGAGTGTTAAGTGCTGTAATGGCGCCTAGCGTTGTTGTTTTTCCCCTGACTCACTTTATTCCCTGGGCGTAGAGTATTATACTCGTACTAGCGCGGTATTTCCGCAGAGTCCGCAAGGAGAGAACTGTCGGTAAATTAAAATCGTCTCTGGAAGTGGGTTACCGTATTTCGTGAGGGGATTCGGGAGGTCAGATACGCAGATCGGACTAAGAAATACGCAGTGTTATCATTCTATCATATCATACCAAGCTTGACTCCGTGATGACATTAGGGGGTCCGCCAGGAGCGCTGTTCCCGGTAGGCTGAGCGCCGCGTATCTTGAGGACTCTTGTGGGTATGTGTGTTCCCGACAACGCTCCCCACAGAAACCCACAGGTACGAGTATCATGCCACAACATTTTCAAGGACAATACAACGCTGGATTATCCAAATTTCCCAGAAGTATCTTCCAAAAATTCAGCATGAGGAGCCCGTGCACCCGAAAATTATCTCGGTTCCAATACAATACCGGTAGTGAGTAAGTATCTAGTCGAGAAAGGGGTCCGGGGGCCAAGTGCACGATGTGCTCCCTCAAGTTCTCGGAGGACTTGTGAGGGGGTTTGTTGGCTATTTCTTCTCCGGAGCGCGGAAGACTCATACCGTTATGTTTTCGAAAGGAGTCGGCGCCTTGCTTACAGTATACCGTACTCCCGTGCAGCGCTGGAGACATCTTCAAACGGTGGGCTACTCTAGAACGATGAATCCTCAGCCACGAGAATGCCATTTCAGTACACTTTGCTCCTCTAAACTCCACCATCCGCTGAAATTCCGAGCTCTATCCCTCCACCATTCCAACAACCCTAATCATTACCCACTACCCCACCATGCTAAGCCCTCTCGGGAGAGCTTCACATCCATCACCCACTATCACGCGTAACAGCGATCACCTCAGATACCGCGAGTCTTCAACCCATTCCCCATGATCGAACAAACAGACAAACAGGCATCACCTCCCTGCTTCCCCCTTCCCCCCTCCTTCGTACTCTATTCTACAGCTTATTAGTGAAGCCCGAACAAGCACCCTCTACATCACCACTCCCGCGCATTCACCAAGTATATTCAAATCGTGAATGCAGTGCGGTGCTTAAGATTCAGAGGCCCCTGAAACCTCATATATATTATTCCCGATTCATGCCGGACAACGAAACCCACACACCCTGATGCCACCAGATCGAGGGAAACTGTAGTGCCTTCTTGTCTACCCATTTGCTGGATTACTCTGCTCAAAGCGCCTACAGTATCTCGCCCGTCCCCCGTGCGGCAGCCTTGCATAGAGACGGTGGCATTTTAGCCCTGATTAGTGGCTTCCCAGGTCAAGTAGTGGTGTTCCGGGTGCCGACCTGTTTATGAGAAGGTATGGGTAGGGCTCGTAGGGCTCACCGTGGCTATACGGTGTACTGTATCGAAAGGAGTTCGAAGCCTATGATACAAACCCGCACCCCGGACAAGACCCGATACACCGGCCCAAGAGGAGGGGCCTTACTCGAGTATGGTGATAATGGTGGTGAGCGAAGACTCTTGGGTATCCTTGTTTGGGATGCTGCTGTGGCAGGGCTATATGCGGGCATTACCGATGGGTTCGTGGGTGGTTATTAAATGATCAAGGGAACGAGACCACATCCTTTCTCTGCCCCCCGATGTAGCATGATAATTACAAATCATCGCAGCCAAATGATGGTAACACAACCTATATTTCATCATATTTGATCCGAACTTGCTATGAAGCCGATTTGAACCCCACCAGTGGGACCAGTCAGTCCATGACCCTCCCCGGGGCTATTCCACCAAGAAATCTAACCTAACCTTTTAATTTCCAATTTGTGCTCCGGGTCCTTGGCCCCCACCCCCGGGAACAATAAAAATCGCAGCGCCACCACCACCAAATAGGAACATCTGGATATAGGATAACTTTGCTTGAACCAGCCACTCGCTATGGTAAGAGCCTCTTCGCGGGAATCCACGCTAATAAACTCGCCCCCTCCGCGGCCATGGTTTTATTGCAAAAAAATCTTATGTTAGAGGGCCACAACGGTCTTGGGACCCTCGGCGTCCCCACAGGAAGACCGGATCAGGCAACATCACAATTTACCGGCAGATGGTGGATCTCGGCAAGAATCACAGGCCCCGTGAGGTGTGGCATTATTCGCAGACTCCGTAGCTAGGCCGTACTGTAGGTGTGAGTGGGATATTACGTATGTGCCAGAAATTC